TTAATAAAGTAACCAGAGTCTGGAAACAAGGTGAAGTACCTTATAGCTCTGTCTGTAATAAAATATGGGGTATTTGATATTAATTATATTATTAAAGCGAAATGCTTTAAATAGCGTTACTATTATTACTATTATAAACTGTATGCCTTGTATTTGCAGAATGTAATTAACAAAAACCAACATGTCCGCCAACTTTAACAAAGACAAATAAAATATATATAAACTTATAAAACTGATAAAACAAATAGCCACACATACCTTTAAACTGTAAACAATAAATCTGTAGATAATAATTCTTCCAATACCAAATACACACAATTGATACGAATAAATGAAACTATTATTATAACTATTGAAACTTTAAATATAAAATCACTACCAAGGTTGAATGAAATATTCAACCTCACACTACAAGATTCTATAAGTAAGTGACCAAGGAGATAGGAAATACAAATCCAAGAAACCTTTGGGTCAAAGGTGAAAATTGAATCCCAGTGACCAGATGATGAACTCGAACTCACTGGTTAGAAGAGTGTACAGAACAGGATAGTTTAAAGATGCATTGATGTGTGACATATTACTTAAAATTACATTAGTATTGTGATCATATTAAAATACCCATAAACTAAATAAAATCACTCTACCACATAAGCAAGGTCTTATTTTCTCACGAAAATATTCCTTTACATTGTTTAGGCGTTCACAGAGACTGACACACCACCGTTTAGCAGTAAAAAGTTGCCTAGTAAAATTGACTGGGAACCGATTTTATTTCGACAAGGATTCAATAGGACTGTTCCTGAACGTACAGGGCGATAATGAGATCTACGTTCAGAGCTGAACTAGATCTTCGGCTAACTCAGATCTTTGTTTAACTCGGATAAAATTGGGCAGTCCATTTAGATCAGACTTATGCAATGTTTAATGTACATGTATGTCCTATTTTATCAGCCTCAACTAGTCAGCCATTTGAACAAAGTACAGATGTCATTACACATTGATCCACAGTGAATATTCGCTAGGCCGCTACAATCACTGATAAGGATGACATCGATACGACTTAATGAGCCACAAATATTAACTTTTTTCCTCCGACAAATTAAATCCTAAAACATTTTTTTTATGCATCAGAAAAATAAATAAAGACGTTTGACATATTTGTAGGTAAAAATTATTTCCTATTTAGTGTAAATGAGTATTAAAATGAGTAAAAAGCTCCATTCCGCCCGAACCAGTAAGGTCTTATGTAAACAATGCACGTGCCATTTAGCCAATGATTGACGCGGCATGATGAGACGTCACGTGTTGAAGGTGGTCATCTTTTACAGAGATATTAGAAGACTTTCGTAATACTCTGTGAAACAGATTGATGTTATTATTGTAGACGAGACATTAAACCTAACAGTCTTTTACTCTGTTAAATTCCGGGTGTCTGTCCACCCAGTTAACCCGTCCGTGCACGTTTTGTTTCTGGACAGTCTGCCAATTTATATCTGATTTTGACATGTATCAGACCAAAACTCCATTCCATCCCAGTTTTCCCTGTCAATTAATTTACACCTCCTAAATGAAATGAAATGGGGTTTAACGTCCTACTGTTCTGCTTCAGAACTGGGCTAATGAAGACGAGCATACGCCATACAGTGTGCTATGAGGGAAATTTTGCCCGGACAGCGGCACTACGGCCTTCTCTTATATCGAATTCCAACTGTCAAGAGATCGTTTACGTGCACGCCAATGTGTACACGGTACCTCGGTTTTTCGTCCCATCCGAACGACTAGACAGCTGTCCTTGTCAGGCCCTACGTCCTACATCACTGACAAGGGGGAAACACACCGGGGAATCTAAATGAACTTTCTCGGCCAATGCAGGGATCGAACACCCGACCTCCAGGCTAGCAAGAAATCGTCTTACCCACTTAGCCCCTCACCTCCTAAAGCATTGTAAGTTTTGTAACCTGAAGATGGACGATCTCAAACTTTATCTCAAACAATGTATTTCATGCAAAAAGTATGATTTAACTTTTAGTTTTATGTTGAATAAACATACATACTAGTTGATGAATTTTCGTTAGAGTTTTGATATCAATGTTTCATAAACAAATGTTCCAAAAGGGTAATGTAAAAATCTGAACCGAACTGCCGGACAAAATGGCCGCTCCTTGTACGCAAATAGTGTAAAAGTATGTAATACCAAGATTCTAAACTCTCTAGAAGTCAAATTTTTGTGTCCGATTTTGATGAAACTTAAAATGTATCTTTATATCCCAAATATCTCAATCCATTTCGATATTCACGCATATCAGACCATAACTTCCTGGATTCCTGGATTATAGCCCCTTATTGTACAAAAATCGCTTCTTTGTTTAAATTGTTCTCTATCGTGCCTCATTCGGCAAACCTCGACAAATTCTACGCATCTAATCACGGCTGTATGACGAATTCCGCCATATTGGAACTATTTTAATGGTCCCGGGTGAAAAATGGCTGCGCCCATGGAGATTTCTGTGGAGAGTGTATTATATCAACAAAAGTCAAGTTTGGCATTGGGTTTCGGGAATTACCAAGGGATTATATCAAACCAGCAGCCTTGAGACAATATCTCTGCTCGTTTAGTTATATACACTCGACAAAAGACGCCATTTTGGGATTTTTTTGTAAAAGCGGCACGTTTTACTGTTAAATTAAACCGGTAGCCGCATCGCAAATGTATGGGCGTAGGTACATATCAATTACTATCATACAGCCGAGGTTAGATGTAGGGTACCGGAATCTGCCGAGAATTGCCGAGTGTATCGTGCCTGGCATCCGCTGGCTGTTGCAGAAGGTAGAACATAATCACTGGTTTTAAATTACGGGCCTAAATTCAAAGGTTAACGATAATGGGAGACGAGATCTAATGCGCGCGTGATCACATAGACTTAAAACTATCAATCGAGGTCCATTCAGATACACAGATGTTTTATGATACACATTTATGATTATTTATTGACATTTGTGGTATTTCATATTACCAGTTATTTAAAGATACATTATGGGAGATTTGATAACGAGTTGGCAGTTCTCACTATAATAGTTAAAAACTAGATAATATAAAGGCAATTTGCTGCAAATTTCATTCAAATTGATCCACTATGAACCGAGAATTAAGCGATTGAAATTTTCGCCTAGCCTCGATCATCATTACTAAAGTCAGTACGATAAACAGCATAGTCTCGATTATCCATTTAATCGTTAAATCGTGAAGGAAAGTTATGCAGTAAATCGGCTCATAATCCACTAAAGATCGCAGGCTAGCCATGCCATCTAGAGTTGATTATGGTCTGGATAGGTTAATTAATGTTTAATTAATAATTTAGATAACAGTTCAGGCCTAAAGAAAGACCTGCAATAGACAGATTTAGCTCTTGCATAATGTATGTTTAATACAGTTATTCCTCCTTTTGGCTGAGTAAAATCTCTTATCACGTGTCCAAAATACAATCTATCATGAGTCACGTGTTTGGGTCCTCGATTTTAGATTCATACTTATCAGGGTCCTGTTTCACGAAATTTTAACTAAAGATAAAATCCAAATTTTAGTAGATACTTCAATTTTGATTGGCTAAGCACTACAATCAGTCTAATATTATCCAATCAAATTACTAAAATTTGGATTTTATCTTAGTTAAAATTTCGTGAAACAGGCCCCTGGACTATCTATCATACACTAAAACAATCTGTTTCACAGAGAATTACGAGTCTTCTAATATCTCTGTAAAAGATGACTGCCTTTAACACGTGCCGTCACAGCACGCGGCGTCAATCATTGGCTGAATGGCGCGTGCATTGTTTACATAAGACGTTACTGCTTCAGGCAGAATGCTGTCTTTTAGTCATTTCAATACCCATTTACACTAAATAGGAAATAATTTTTACCTACAAATAAGTCAAACGTCTTTATTTATTTTTCTAATACATCAAAAAATGTTTTAGAATTCAATTTGTCGGTGGAAAAAAGTTAATATTTGAGACTCGTTAAGTCGCATTGATGTCATCCTTATCAGTGATTGTAGCGGCCTAGCAAATATTCACTGCTGATCAGTGTGATACTAAAAGCCACGACACATGCGCCAGGTGTTTATTCGGAAATCAATACGTGTTTATGAAGTTAGAGTATTAAATCGTTTCAAGTAATAAAACAGGAATAAGCAAATCATATTATGAACAATATGCGTAACTTACATACAAAATGAAATGAAATGGGGTTTAACGTCCTACTCTTCTGCACCTATACTGGGCTAATGAAGACGGGCATACGCCATACAGTGTGCTATGAGGGAAATTTTGCCCGGGCAGCGGCACTACCGCCTACTCTTATATCGAATTCCAACTGCCAAGGGATCTTTTACGTGCATTCTAATGTATACACGGGACCTCGGTTTTTCGTCTCATCCGAAGGACTAGACAGCTGCCCTTGTCAGGCCCTCCGTTATGCACCACTGACAAGGGGAAACCACGTCGGAAAATCAGGATGAACTTTCTCGGCCAATGCAGGGATCGAACACCCGACCTCCAGGCTAGCGAGCCAGCGTCTTAACCACCTAGCCACCGTGGCTCCTTACATACAAAAGATCTTATATATTCCCTATTTTATTAAAATATAAACCTGTTATATATTACCCATTTTATTCAAATATAAACCAGCTGTTCGTTCTATAATCGATTCTAAAATTGTATTGCAATCGAGATGATACTCACCTTAACCTTATGGGCTTCTGATGTTCAATATTTAAAACAAAATAAACATTTTACCATTGGTACAGGAATCGTGTACCATAATGCATTTTAGCGCCATTTGTAACAAGGGACTCGAAGACCGAGACTAGGCATAGTTCACAAGTCATGTCAAACGGTGACATCATATTCTTATCTGGAGAACATGTACAATAAATACTAGACGGTGTAGACTGGAATCACCAGAGATTGCCATTCAATTGAGACTTCTGACGTATTTCGCCGAACATAACTGATTAGAAATTAGAGTAAAACAGAAACGATTGAATATAAATCAGTTTATATACATTCATATTACATTATTATATGAGGTGCGACCCATTTGTGTCAATTTCTACGTGCGTGTGTGTGTGCGTGCGTGCGTAAAACACATATAGATTTTAAGATACAAAAATGTTAATTTTAGAGTACAAATGTCGGAATACGACAACAAATGAAGAACTAAGAATTAAGGATTACGAATTAAGAATTAAGAACTACGAATAAAGAGCTGTTTGGTCTTACATATTCATATACCATTGCTCTAAATATCAAGCTTAAGATATATAATCCAATCAGTTAAATGTCACAATTGTTCTAAATGTTAAACATAGGATATAAATCCTAACGGCTTAAACGCGGCAAGAGCCACACACTTCTTGATAGTTCTACATAAGGATCGCGCTATGATGATGTGTTCACCCTAGCCTCTAAGCCGAGGAGGATATGGATATGTTCCCCTTGAGCTCCGAATGATTGTCTGAGGGTAAATCAAACCCGCTCTTTCCTATATAGAAAATGTAAATGTCTGTGAGTTAGTCTAAGATAGTAGCAGAGTAATGCAAGCTACTTCATTACCCTAGTTTTCGTCACACATCATGTAGGTAAAGATTTCTATATTAAACAGAACACCTTTCTTAGAACTAAAATAACCCTATAGTATTATACCAAATATTGTTCGTGTATTCAAAAGGCTCTTTAGACAAATTCAGCTAATGTATGAAAAGCGGTCGGAGAAAGTTACACCTTTATAGAGTAGGTATTCTATCTACTATTTTCTGTAGCTAAATTATGCGACCCAATTTTAAACTTGGCAAATTGAACGGTTTACATTGTTCAAACAATCTCCACCACACATAATACTCAACATTTATATTTTTAATTCGTGCGTGTTACACATAATTTTAGGGCACCACTAGAGCGTGAAACGGAGTTTTCAAATTATTATATTACTAATAGTAAGTGGAGCAGGACGGAAACGCATACAAACAAAGCCACCAGAGAAACACACAGTTGCATAGATATTTTTATAAAAACAATCGTATATAGATCCAAAAATATTAGCACAATAGTAAAGCTACACTATTTTGTTTCACGGTAAACGACGAAAAGATAAAAGATATGTATCACCCAATAACACATTTTGCACTAGATATCGTTTGTGTGATAACTGCAGGGCCGGCGGAAGCAATTCTTGATTTTTCTCTATATTATCACCGGTATATGTATCCGATTTAAAACCATTTTATACCCATGTTGATGAAGAAACCATTGACGTACCTGCTAATTTGATTGCTGAACTGAAATATATATTGAATTATTGTTTAATATAAATGCCTGAAGAAACGCTATCGCGATGAAAACGTTTTATTTTGCCACATATATACATGTAAAAGGTATTTTCCCCATTGAATTCTCACTTTCAACAAAAAACATAAAATAATAAAATCGAAATCCATTAAAAACTGTAGCCTTTACCGCTATCTCGAGGTTTTCGGAATATCGATAGGTTTCATCTTGTCATTACCCTATTACTTCACACCAATTGGAAAAATATAAACCGTAATCTCTATCGCGTACACAAGGTTTTCGTAAAGAGGGGTGGGTAACTCTGGAACTGGTGGGGTTTGTACCTCTCCTGACCAAGATGCTTCAAACCAAATCTAAAAAAAAATCCGTTAAAAACTGTAGCCTCATTGCTGCATAAAAAATTTAAAAATTTGAAAAAAAAGGTTGTTGTAAATCGTAGCCTCTATCGCGTATATATGACATATAGGTTTTTGTTTTTCCGATGTTTTCCAGAGGACCAGCCTCCGAGTTACCTATTTAGGGTGTTTTCCGGTATTCAGTGTGTTTTCCGGTATTCAGTGTGTTTTCCGGTGTTTTCCAGTATTCAGTATAACATGGTGTTTTCCGGGTTTTTCCGGTATATAGTATAGCCCATTATGTTAAGTCATCAATATTCGAATACTTACACTCCATACTGGACAGTTTTCCTCACTCATCCATCGGTATAGATCCGTATACATTTGAGCAGGACGACTAGTGTCGTGTAAAGCTTTACATAATTCACATCTCCAATCTGTGTACCCAATTTCAAAATGGGACCTCCATTTAAAGTATTCGTTGTAGGCTGTATGATTTTTATCCAGATAATGTATATATTCGGCTAATTTTTTGATATTTGGGAAATCTAACACATTTATAAAGCTGTTTGGTGGAGCTATCTTTGTGTAATCTGCCCCTCCTCGGACGATTGGTATTTGTTCTCGAACCAAAGCATTCCAAAATTTTTCAGTTACATAATCTTTACACAAGGAATTCTCGAAGGAAAGATAAAATTTGTATTTTCCTAAAACCTCAGGACAAATTACGCCGCTGCATTTAGGATATGTTTTTCCACAATGTCCAATTACATCCACATCTATGTATTTTGACAGTTCTTGTGCAGTTAATTGACGAGGGGAATAAGGATAACAATTCCCCACAGCCCAAACTACTTTGTGAGTTTTATGTTTGGAAAAGTCTATTTGTTCAACAGATTTATTGACAGAAGGTAATTTTTTTAAATGGCCATATGTATGTAATATATCCATATCAGATCGATAGCCCAGTGTCCAATTGAAAAAATTAGAATATTTTCTCAGATTCATAAGATAATGATTTGGGGGTGGCTCCATGCTTGCATAGATATAAATCTGTTCAGGGAATCTAACTGATGGCAGAGAGAAAGTGGTTATAAAATCTGGAGGATGAAAAAGTAAAGCATCACTTTCACTCACAAGAGCCTTATCAGCAGTTACAATACATTTGGACACAGCACATCCTTTAAATGCATCCCGTATAGAATAATGGCCAAAGGTTTGCCAGGTGATTGAGCCATAATCTTTGGTCCAGAATAGGATTCTTTTAATCTCACGTTTACTGACATATCTCTCGGGAAATATTTTCGGATAGTTGTAATTAATTTTTGATGTATCGTTTAGATCTTCAATTGTCAACAAGTTGTAACCTACAACCATCACAACCACAAACAATAGATAATGTTTCATAGAATATCTTCCATTCTTTCTGGAATATCTCCTTTTCATAAACCCAAACCATTCCATGGCCATTCTCTCAAACAATTGCTTCTACATCTGCAATTTAAAAAAGAACCCAGTCAAAATAAATAACCTAAACTTCACTCACGACCAACAGAGAAATGGGGTTTAACGCCCACTCGACACAAACTAGGTCATTTCGGGACTAACATATGTTTTTTTAAAAAAAAATGTATTTACATAATTCGCTTGTGCGTAGTGGGAGGAAACCGGAGGACCCGGAGAAAACCCACGAGGTTGGACAGGCGACCCTACTCCTTGCCACGTACAACCGGGGATTCGAAACCACGCCAGTCGACTCAATGGCAGACTTTATGATACAGCGCGCGCACGCTAACCATTCAGCCCCCCTCACGACCAACAAATCGGGGCTCTTCAGCATAAGCAGCAATAACAATGTTGTTGATAATAACAAACAGAAAATCAGAAAAAAGTAAAATCGGACCACTTAAACATACATTATACAAGAGCAAAATCTGCTAATTACAAGTCTTTCTTTAGGCCTGAAATGTTATCTAAATTATGAATTAGACATTAATTAACTTATCCAGACCATAATAAACTCTCGATGTCAAGGCTAGCCTTCGATGTTGGCTGGATTAGATTCCTATATGCCGCTAACGGCCAAAGATGATTAAATCAGAAAAAGTGGATAATCGAGACTATGCTGTTTATATTAATGATTTTAGTAATGATGACCGAGACTATGCAAAAATTTCATCCGCTTCTTTCTCGGCTCATAGTGGATCAATTTGACTGAAATTTTCAGCAAATTACCTTTACACTATCTAGTTTTTAACTATTATAGCGAGAACTGCCATCTCTTTATACTATCTCCCATAATGTATCTTTAAATAAACATGGGGGGGGGGGGGGTCAAATGTAGAATTGTTTTATTAAGTTGATAAAGCGAATAACATCATGAATTTTGACTTGTATCGAAAGAACATTGGAAATGACTATTTGGTGGTGAAATATGTTTAGCAAGAAACGGTGTGTTATCACATCAGACAGTATGGTTACACGGTATCCAACCTCAAACGGTATCATGTTTTTCGAGAGACAATGGTAAATGTTGATAAACACTGTGCCCGAGGTCGACGAGTATTTACAAAGAACCCTTGTAAGGAAATCAACGCACGATAGTAATGATGTACATTTACATAACTGTGGACAACAAATTCCCTGGAGTCAACATTCATAGATTTTGGTGGTGGGAAGAGCAACGAATACCAAAATCTACCCGAAAGGGTGTTCATTTACACTTGAACCAATGGGCGGCATTGAAAGTTATTTTCAAAGAGTTGTGTGAAAAGAAATTGTGGGCGTAGATCCGCCCTAGGGTGTGATAGGCTTCGGAAAGGAGGGTTCGCAATGTATACACGGGCCTCGGTTTTTCGTACCAGCTGGACGACTAGACAGCTGTCCTTGTCGGCACCTCCTTCCTGCACCATTGACACCCCCCCCCCCCCCCGTCGGAAAAATCCCGATGAACCTTCTCGGCCAATGCAGGGATCAAACATGCGACCTCCAGGCTAGCAAACCCGCGACTTACCCACATAGAGGCTCCTTGATAAAGGACCGTGTAGCAGACGATAAGACTACGCGTGGCTGACCCCTTGTGAATGTGTACATACACTGGCCAAGTCAAGACTTCTAACTCTTAATGGATACAATCAACCGTGAATTTACACAGATAATTATGGTGGCTGATAGTGGCCATGTTAAATCTCGCCCTTTTCATAACGCGACAACACGACATCACGACAGTATTGGCGTAATCATACGACACTTAACTCTGTCGTATTATCGTTTTATTTTTATCCTAACGTCGAGATGTCGACTTATTGGCATAGTCTCTTTCTACAAGTCACAAAAATACAGCTGTACTCATTACACTCATTACATCAGATTAGATACAATAAGACTCGTCAAAAGAGATAATAGGAAAGTGTTGATTAATTATTCGTTTTCTCAAAATAATGAAACATTTTGCGCCCAAAATTGAATTATTGGTATTATATTCAAAAAATCTAGAATTATAATAGCAGGACAAAAGTGAGTCAGCTATGTTAATTCCTTGAATAAGAAGTGGTGTCGGTAGGTATCGAACAAGCATGCATTGCCTCGTGTACGACACCCACCAATACTTATAGATTACTGAAGCGATAGTTTAGAAGCGATTTCAGAAGATTTCCAATTTATTTTATTAGAGTGGGAAGGGGATTATATAAAACCTCAAATCAGATCACAGAAAATCACTGCATTGGTGTAGGGGAGGTTTTTTTATGAGGTGAAGAAAGCTATTTGCAGCTGTTATTGACCTTATCGCGTATTCATCCGTTTGGCATCACTAATGGGATCGGGGCCTAGATGATTAAAAATAGGCCCAGTATTGCCTTCAGCTATGAACACACTCCGAAAGTCCCCTACGCACCCCCCCCCCCCTCTTATTTTGTTTAACAAATAATTTCGGAATCAATAAAATGGCAGGTCCCTATCAATGATGTTTGATACGACTGGAAATTAATGTGTCTAAAATTGATTAAACAACATAGGGTAGTAAATATTACATTTCGAATCCGTATCAATGATACATTTACTCAAAATGTTCCTTCTAATGGAACACCATTTAACTTGAAAACAAGGGAAGCAGCCGATCGAAGAAAAAAAGATTTTAAAAAACAAGTTTCAATATGACAGTCGTGGTTCGGTCATGCATTTACATCCGTGGGTGTCATCCTTTCTTTGAAAGTAATGATTGTGCCAAATTTGAACAAAGTCCATCTAGATTCGCGGCCTGTAGGTAAAGTGTTGACAGATAAAACGTAAAAAAAACAGACCTATAAAAATATATTTTCTAAAACTATTTTAATTTTGAAATTATATTATTTTCACATTTGCCAAGTGTTTTAGCGAATAGTTATAGAAAGGGTCTTGTCGATTAAGACTATAGCGCATGTGCAATGTGCAGTTTTAAACTTCCGAGACGACAAGTCGATGATACGACACTTTCGCTTTTTGTCGTGCCGTCGTATCATCGACTTGTTGTGGCGATAAGTCGATGATACGACGGCACGACAAAATTGGGTCGATGACACGACAAAATCACGCGATCTTACGACAGTTTGTTCTGTCGTAAGATCGCGTGATTTTGTCGTAAGATCGTGTGATTTTGTCGTGTCGTCGTATCATCGACTTACAGTGGCGATAAGTCGATGATACGACGGCACGACAAAATCACACGATCTTACGATAAAATCGGGCGATCTTACGACACAACAAACTGTCGTAAGATCGTCTGATTTTGTCGTATCATCGACCTTATTTTGTCGTGCTGTCGTATCATCGACTTATCGCCACGACAAGTCGATGATACGACGGTACGACAAAACACTAAACTGTCGTATCATCGACTTATCGACTTGTCGTCTCGGAAGTTTAAAACTGCACATGCGCTATAGTCTTTATCTACAAGACCCTTCTATAAATAAAAAAACAAAACTGACACAGTTATATGGGACAACAATCACTGTTTTATTGTACACAAGCACAGCACGTGATGCGACTCGAGTCAGTCATGTGACCAACTCGATTCAAAACGCGAACGGTCTGGTGTCGACTCGAGTGACTCGGGTGAACAACGAAAACCTTACCAAACAAATTGCAAAAGAGACCAGGAAGTTTCAGAGAGCGATATCTCGTATCACATGTCACTTATGAAACATATGCCCTAAACACATGTCAAGCTAGACAACTTTTATTTAAATTACACTGATTTTACACTGATTTTACACTGATTTTAGGTGTTTTATCCATTAGTCAATTTAAAGAAATTTCTATTTTTGAAAAATTGATGAAACAATTAATGATGGATGACAGAAAACTGACACACAATCCGGAATGGCTTCAGACCAAAAAATCGTGGAATTTCAGGCATTTATTTTGCCGGCTAAAGGGAAAATAGTTTTATCCCGCAAATTACTATTTAAATTTTCATTTTTCACTTTACCCGTCTGATTTTTAAAAGCGTCATGCAAGTTAAATATATTTAATAGCGCTTTTATCTGGTGTATCTTTTATTTCATTTTCTTATGAATTAGACTATATAATAATAATAATAATAATAGTTTGTTCAGCTATACTTTTCGTTTAAAAAATGTATGTTTTATCTCTTTTTCGCGGAATTCTATTACATATCTATCTACATCCCTGTCGGGGGAAGCCAACTTCGACACAACAGTATGATAGGACAAAAATAAGATAGTGAGTACGTACAAACACTTGGGACCCAATATAGTCCATGTGACAGACCTGGGATTTTGGAACATCATTACCAATTTGATGAATAAATTCAACCATGATTTTCAGTTAGCCTGGTGGCTGAAGTGTTGAAATTTGGTTGATGGACTTCCGGGTTACTTTGCTAAATTGCATTTTGGCGGCTATCTTTAAAGATGGCCGCCGTTATTTCATTGAAATTGAGCGCATCGGGGAAACCTTCATAACTCCTGAAAAGATCGACCTATGAATATGGAATGTGGCTCACAATGTTCACAAGAAAATGCTTCTTCTGGTGCTATATGATTCTTGTTGTTGAATGAATCATATATTTTCCAAATCAACAGATTATTCTGGAAAAAGCAACCTTTTGGCATTTTTATTTTCCCAGGTTTTTTATGATTTATTTTATAAGTTTACTACTACAGCTGCGGTGGCCGCAAACTCAACAAAAGTCGTAAGTAGACTGTCAAATTTAAAATGTTGAACGTCGGCGAGGCAGGGCACAAACTTAGTGAAATGAAATGAAATGAAATGGAGTTTAACGTCCTACTGTAAACTTAGTGAACTTTTAGCTAGTGTGTCACAATCAAAACGATATTTGGGGACGGGTTGTTTCTGTGTCAAAATTTGTCCCTAAAGACAATTTTGAGATTATGTCACTTCTGTGACGTCATTTTCGGTTGGGGTTTTGTCCGATGTCCAAAATGACCGCAAGGGAGCTAAAGATGATCCGAACAATTATAGGCCAATCTCAATTCTCCCCACAATTTCAAAGATATTCGAAAGGCACTTGAGCACTCAAATTCAAACTTATTTGGAAACCTTCAATGTTCTTTATGCTTACCAATCTGGATTTAGATCAGATCATTCATGTGCTACTGCACCGATCCGAATGACAGATAATTGGCTTGATGCTATCGATAATGGTGCGATGAGTGGTATCTTGATTTTAGCAAAGCATTTGATCTCATTGATCATAAGCTTATTATTGAAAAACTACATCTTTATCGATTTGATAATAATTCACAAATTTTGATTGAATCATATCTTGACTCACGGAAGCAAAAAGTATGTTTAGGATCAATTACCTCCTCAATTACTACAGTCAAATGCGGGGTTCCACAAGGGTCGATCGTGGGTCCTCTCCTATTCCTTATTTTTATAAATGATTTCCCACTCAATATTGAATCAAGTCAGATAGATTTGTTTGCTGATGACAGTACCCTGCATTGTTCACACAAAGATATTTAATCCATCGCCAATAATCTCCAAAATTATCTCTATTTGGTTGCTAAATGATGTGAAAACAATGGGATGGTAATCAATCCTTCGAAAACAAAATCAATGCTGATTTCATCAAAACACAAAAGAAATCAGAAAAACCTAACTTTATCACTCCATGGTGAGAAAATTGAGACGGTTACTACCGCAAAATTACTTGGAATTCAAATTGACCAAGACCTTAATTGGGAAGCACAGATAGCAGATATGTCTAAAAAACTTGCATCAAAAATATTTCTCCTAAATAAGATAAAAGATCATTTACCTTACGAGACAGGAATTTTGTTTTATAACAGTTACATACTACCAATATTTGATTATTGCTCTATTATTTGGGGAAATGCTACCAAAAGTAGATTAGACATTCTTTTAAAATTACAAAAGAGGGCAACAAGAACTATTCTTGATGCACTGATTGAAACTCCGTCCACCTCTTTATTTACTAAACTCGGTTGACTTACCCTTACACAGAGGATTCTTTACAATAAAATTGTCTTAGCATTCAAAATTATTACATTTAATACTCCACTTTATCTAAATTTCTATTTTATTGAAAAATCTCTTGTTTCCAAAACCGATATCTTGCTCCGTTCACAGACCAGTAAATCTCTTTTTCTTCAAAATTGCAAAAAAGAATCCATGAAACGTACTTTTCATTATTCTGCATGTCTTTTATGGAACAATCTGCCTTTTGATATAAAGATGTGTAAAAATGTTGAAAATTTTAAGATTAAACTGAAAAGTCATTTATTTTGCACACTGAAGGAACCATAATATTCAACTGATGACATACTTATTATTTTTAACTTGCAACTGCATTCTATTTTATTTTGTGTGTAATTATAGTGTTCTTCCTATTTTCTACTTGTACAATGTATATGTTTTGAAGTTTGGGAGTGACTTATCAAACTTCCCACTTTAAAATGCTATTGCATTTCTAATGATTTTAAATTTATCCTGATATTACATGTATATATGTCTTTGTAGCTTAGGAGGGACCTATGGAAGATTAGTTTTTTTGCAAACTAAATACGTTGCCTCATTAAATAAAGTTTTTATTATTATTATTATTATTATAGTATCATGCAAGGTAGGGCTTGTGATATATCATGTATAGGGTTTTCGTAGCCACTGAATTTAAAATTGAATTATTTATTGGAATTTTCGATGAAACGGAAAGGTTTGTTCCGCACAGGTATTAGCTTAGAAGGGACAAATACAATTTGTAGAACCAGATATTTGATGTTAGTGAACCCATTTTTCTAGGACACCTGTTTCACACGAAATCTTATTTTCTATCCAGACGAACCTTCAGTATAATAATCTATATGCATACAAAGTTTATGAAAATACACATTCAAGCAGCATTTAATATGGTCTACCACCTGTAGGACACTCCCTTCAACTTAAAAATAAATTGTTTATTGGAATTTTCGATTAAACGTAAACTTTCTGTAAAATGTAAAATACTCGACTAATATACCAGTTGTAACATGTTTAACATCATATCTTTCCACGCGAATTAACAATAAATTGTTCATTCGATAAAACGGAAACATTTTTTATACTTGTAAAATAAATACCTATTGTGTATATGATACGTTGAAGTCTACCATGTAATACGGAAATTTGCAACACGTTTATAAGCACCATATCTTTCTACATGAACTAACAATAAATTGTCCATTGGATAAAAAGGAGACATTTTTTTTATATATATAACTGTAAAATAATATATGAATTATCGTTTTAACATCATATCTTTTGCCTCCCTTTTCAGGGATGGGCACTCAAAAGGAGTATGGTAGTTTCGGGGGTCCCTAAACTAGTCAATGTTCTCGCGTAGTTATGAATTTATGTCGTTTTTGATGAATTATTAAGATATATGCATAAGCTAAAAACATTCATCCAAAAACATTTCGCCAAATGTCTTGAAATTCATTTTGCCGGAACATTATGACGACATGACTGGAAATTAACCTGGCATACAATAAGTCACCATACAATAATGGGGAATCGAGCAAGCATACAATAAGTAAAATCGCTCGATGACTGTGACTAATCCATAGTGTTATGTTTCTACATATATTGGTTAAACCGACCTAGCATTAAATAAATTAAATTGAAAGTAGCCCATTTTTAGTAATTAGGTTATTTTTCGATAGCTACACATTGGACAAACAAAAGAGGATTTTACCTCTTCTAAATCCTGTAATCCTCAATGTGCCAGTAAATAACTAATACTAATATATTCAAAGGCGATAGAATAATAATTTGCGGTGATGCATAACTGGAATATCGTATTAAGACCCGTGTTTTGACTTTTAGATACACCCCCCCCCCCTCCTATCTAGATATAGTTCAGACGATCCAAATTATACCTGCCTTAGCACGGTACGTAAATATGAATATGTCAGGAAATATTTTGCAATTTTGAAAAGGTATTTGGAACTTTTTAATGGTATCCATCCCGATATAATGACGTTACATACCCCCCCCCCCTCCTACCTCATTTAATACAGGTTAGTGCCATATAACAGTCGCGGTCGTACGGCGATTTTGCTTATTGTATATGCTTGCTCGATTTCCGATTATTGTATGGCGACTTATTGTATGTTAGGTTGATTTATGCTCATGTCGTCATAATGTTCCGGTTCGATGAATTTCGAGAAAAGTATTTGGAGAAATGTATTTCAAGATTTGTATTTGGAGATTTGTATATGGAGATTTGAATTTGGAGATTTGTATTTGGAAATTTGTTTTTCGAGATTTGTTTTTCGTTGTATGTATCTGAAGAAATGTAAATGTAGGCAATTTTTTTGATTTCATCAAATAAATTTTATCTTTATATAAATAAAATTAAATTAAACAAAAATACAATTTACAGATCTTTTACGACAAATATTTGATTTGTAAAACAAATATTGATTTTTAAGATACAAATGTTAATTTTAGAGTACAAATGTCGGAATACGACAACAAATGAAGAATTAAGGATTATGAATTAAGAACATTGAATAAAGAGCTGTTTCGTCTTCCATATGCCCAGAGCACGCCAAGAACTCGCCGTAACAGATGGCTTCATTGGCTAATCTCTCACACCATCCAGAACGCAAGATGTATAACCACGCTTCCAGATCCTAGTGTAGTACAGACAAATAAATCAAAATTTTGAACTATAAAAAACGAAACGAAATAGAATCTGAGAGATAGAGAGAGAGCGAGACAGATGGGGTTTAACGTCCACTCGACACAGACTAGGTCATTTCGGGACTAACATATGGTTTAATTTTATTTCAATAATTCGGTTGGGCGCAGGGGTCTTTAGCAGTGTGAGGAAACCGGAGGACCCGTAGAAAACCCACGAGGTTGGGCAGGCAACCCTGTGTTTTAATCCGATTGGAGAAGAGTATGAATAAATTTTAGTTAATTTTCGTATTAATATGTTGAAATACAATTACCAACCACATTTTGCATAGCTACAGAATGAAATCTGGGACGAATCACCAGTACACGGATCTCCACCATTTGTAGGAGAAGGATTATCACAATATCCGAGTCTTGTCTTTTTTCAATTACCACACGAAAGGGAGCATGTTCTGTTATGAACCCCAGTCACTCCATCCACCATCAACTATAAAAATAAATACTGTATTCTCGCAATGTTTCAAAACGCTCGCGAACACAACAGGTTATTTAAAAAGCAGCTGTTACATTATATGACTTGATATAGTGGGAGATCAATGCTATCTATCATGAATGCGCACGTGGCGGGGTTGTCGAAGGGGCGCTGGTTCGGTGTGGTTAGGGGTGATTTAAGGAGCTTTAGGTAGGATGGTTTGCGGTTGTCAAATGAGCCCTAGTTATGAAAAGGATCAAGACCAATTACTCCACAATTATAGAAAATCACCCTACTTCTTCCCTTGGCCATAAATACTATGTATGAATTTATATCACCGCCATTCACCGCAAACCACTGAATCTATTCATATAAACTTGAAATAATGATTGTGTTAGTTTATATTTATGTCACCATGGGAGAGGGTGGGGGGGGGGTGATGGGGATGAATATACCCCACGCTAGTCCCGCGTAAAAGGCAACTAAAGAGATCCCTGTAATGGAACATCGTGTTTGTCGTGCGTCGCAATCTGTGTCGGGGATGCCCTTTTCCCTCCAAACATTTCTTCCGAATACAATTCACCTAGACGGGAGGTCATTCTGATTTGGTCGTGGTTAGCTGATGAGTAGGTGCATCTTCATTAGCCCAGTCGGAGCAGAATAGCATGGCATTAACCACTATTTTATTTCCATTTGATTGGATAAGCGCAATATAGCCCGATTGGTGCTGACGTGCCATAAAACATCATTTTATTCATTCATTACTTTTACACAATAATCATGATCACACGAAATATTCAGATTTCTTGATTAAATCTCGTATTACCATTTGGAACTTACAGTGTTAGACGTTCGTCAAAAATCAATCGAGTCCGGCTTGGTCGTAACGTTACGGCCTCCATTCATCAAATCATCGTGGGGGATATAATACGATTCCGAATCAATCACTGAGCGACTTCAAAATTAGGTTTGGTGTAGCTCTGCTCACTTACAGTGGCTGATTTAACGGGCTCAATGGGATCCAGCCCTCTTCTCTAGAAATGCCATCATTTCATAGCACTCGCATGGATTGGTCCACTGAAATAACGCCAGAATGCGCTAATTTTGTGGCAGAATTGTATTTTTTTCAGGGGGAGGTAGTTCTAAATGGCTCCGACACAAGTGCCTGAAATGCCAGGAAATCACGTTTCCGGTCTCCAATTTCTGAAAATTTCGAAGGGGGGAGACCCCCCCCCCCCCCAGACCCCCGTTGCGGGGCTTCGCGTCTTCGGCGCTCGCGGTGCCCGGTTTCGCCGGCCACAGCTCCGCGGTCGGTGATCAGGGGCCCCCCACATGTTCCAGGCCCATGGTTAATCCGGCGTTGTTTGGGATCGCTCACTAGCATTTAGTCCCACTTTATTTTGTAAGTGAAATATTAAATTTGTGTAAGATCTCCCCATAGTAAATTAAAAGCCCGGTTAAAAGACATTATTCACAGTGTCTTTTCGTCTAAATCAGGTACTGCGAGATATCAATATTTAGTTGTAAATTACAATTCCACATATTTCGTTAAGAATCACAGTGATTCCAAAAACAAATTCACGGCCATCAAGATAATTCAGATGTTGGATTTTTTAATTGACAACATCTTTGTTGAATTTGGAGGGGAAATATATCAGCAAGTGGTTGGCATCCCATGGGCACCAACTGTGCACCTTTGCTTGCTGATCTGTTTCTCTATTCGTACGAAGCCGATTACATACAGACGCTCGTAAAAACTAATAAACGATCAGTCAGACTTTTTAATTTCACTTATCGATATACCGATGACGTTTTATCACTTAATAATCCTAAATTTAGTGATTATGTCGAATTCATATATCCTGATGAGCTCGAAATTAAAAACACCACTGACAGTGACAATTACGCTTCCTACTTGGATCTGCGTCTCAATTTTGACAATTGCCATAAACTGAGTGTTAAATTGTACGATAAACGTGATGACTTTGAATTTCCGATTGTTAACTTTCCATTTATTAGTAGTAACATTCCAATATCACCAGCTTATGGAGTGTTTATGTCTCAGCTAATTCGTTACGCGAGAGCTTGTTCCTTTTATTCTGATTTTTTAAGTAGATCGAGGCATTTGTCATCTAAGCTTCAACTACAAGGATATTTGCGAACTAAACTTATTAAAACCTTTAAAAAGTTTTATGGCCGTCATATTGATTTGATTGGTAAATAGAACGTGTCTCTCTCGGCTATTATTCTAGATATATTTAATTGACACGTATACTATTACTCTCTCCCTGATAATATCTACTACATCGTTAACACAGTTCATCGCGTGCATTTTGCATACCGATAGTTTATTGGCCAATCACGCTATTTTACCGACATTTCGCCTAATAGTTTGGATGCAGCTATGGCGGGTGTGGCGCCAGGCAGGGTAAGCTTACTCTTCCGGACACCTGTTACCACTGTTTGTCGTGTATTTTGTACACGAGGAGCAGTCCATTTGCTGATTACACTATTTTGCTTGAATACACTATTTTGCCTATAACGTTTTTTAGGACTTCGAATTCTGTCTTATGGTTTGGATTGTTCGTACTTGGTTTTATTTTATTATCCCACTAATTTGGTGCTAGTTAGGAGATTATCGTATTCGATTGTCGACCATATTTATATATAATAAAATCTATATTTTTTTTTCAAACTCTGTGTATTTAACCTAATCTATTTATTTGTCACTAATAATTTAATTAATTTTATATAGTCGGCGGTAACAAGGAATCATTAAGCATTTGGTCGGCGGTAACAAGTATTTGGTCGGCGGTAATTATATTACGGTCGAAAGTCATTACAATGCGGTCGGCGGTAAAAAGTATTTGGTCGGCGGTAATTTCACGACGGTCGGCGGTAAAAGTATTGGTCGGCGGTAGTCGGCGGTGGTCGGCGGTAAAAAGTACCACCCTATTGAAACTGCATACGGTTAATATTAATTGTCATGAATACCAAAGATTTGGACAAGTTCCAAAAACTTTCTGGGACTAAGATCTTCTCTTCCGGCAAACAACAATCCCTCAAGTTTATTTGTAAAATAAATTCAAAAGATTCTACTATAACTTTATTTTTTTCTACTTTTACTTTAATTTTTTCTACTTTTACTTTATTGTTTTTCCTACTTTTACTTTATTATGATTTCCGGTTGACAATTTCGCCGCCTAGTGGAACTTCCAACGGATGTTTATTGGTCATTGATTGTTTTTAATATTAAAACGTCACAGTGAAGCGTGTTTGTCTTACAGCTGTTGTGTGGAAGGGGATCGATCATGTTCGGTTTTACAAAAATATTAAATCAATGGCGTCCATGATTATTAAATGACGACAGAAATGATATCATGTTGAAACTTCACTACAAAAACAATTGATAGACTGAATTATCCAGTCTTTCGACAAAACATAAATTCAGATCAGCTGTTCTAATATTGACAATGACAGGCCTATATATAGACCCTATAGACAGCAACAAACTTTAATGAAACCTAATAGCCATGGCTTCACAAATGTTGGAGAATTACCAGGTGAAAGTGAAAGTAGTCGAAAATGAAGAAATTAATCTGAATGGAAGAAGAAGTTTGTAGGAACTTGGAATGATGTATTTTATTTTTAGAAAGAATATATCTCCGGAGTTGAATGAATGATCGATGTTGCCATGTGCACGATACGCTTCTACCCTAAACCAATAATATTACGGCTCTTAGAAAACTAGTCTAGCCTGATGTGTCAATAATCTGCCATGTATTAGACGCTACTATAAATCTTGACACTCAGAAAACTAGTCATACACAAAAGTCAATAATCTGCCATGATTTAGAACCTATTATCAATCTTGGCACTCACAAAACTAGTCATACACAAAAAAAATCTGTTTGAACGATAGCCGGCCAGAATACTCATAAACAGATGGGTCAATTATAAATCTCGACACTTAGAAAACGAATATCTGTTTGAACATATATGTACTGGTAATCGTAAAATGTGAAAATAATCTCTGCTATGTATTAGACCCTATTATGTCTTGGCACTTAGAAATCTAGTCATACACGAAAAGCTATTTGTCCGGTACTGCGTAAATAAAGTGTTGAAATTACCTTACAGGTGAGGTCAGAATGGAGGGATTATTTGTGGTTATACTTGGTAGTTTTTTTGTTTTACAATCAATATGGTGGATGATTCATCTCGCTTACAATTATCAACAGAATCAACATCACCAACAAAGTTACACGGTCGTCATGCTGGCTACGCAGTATAAGATCTGTAAAATGATATCAATCGAAGGCCTGTTTAAATTTACTTTCGGCCTTGCCATGGCAATTATTTCCTTGACGATGAATTCGAAATCGTCGTTTTTACATAACAACGAAATGGGAACAGTTTTTCTGTGTTTGTCTGCGTGTGGAATACAAGAACTATTTTCAGGGTATTATAAAAAGCCTATTTACCCGGGCCTAGATTGTTTAATCGCAGTATTTCTGTTCTCAGTACTGAGTTTGTTCTTCTTGAGTTATTCGACCATCGTTGAATTTCCCCGAAGCACGATTTACAGCCTTGCTTTCTTGACGTCCTTTTCCCTTTCATTATGTTTGATGTTAGAGAGGAAATTCTGCAAGGAAGTTGTGTTTGGAATGATGCGAAATTACATGGTGCTACTCCTTGGATCCTGGATGATCGAGTCCAATTTTCTTGTCAACGAATTAGATTTGACTTTGGACCTAAACGAGATATCGTTGAAGATTGCTATTTATTTCTCATGGCATTGTGGTTTAGATTTTATTATGGTCGTATGTGTGTGGAATATTGTTTATAAACTCTCCACCAAGAACTATTGTCATTGTCTCTTGGCAGGAAACACGAATCAATCGTTCGATGTCCTTTATTTAGAAAATCGCGTTCATTTCGATATGAATATTTTGGGACGATTAGAAGAGATGAGTAACAACGATTTCTAATCATCGACTA